CATCCACGGTTATATTTTTAATATTTCTATTTTTTTAAAATAAAGCGCTGTGTGTCTAACGCCATGAGACTGTGGCAGGCCTGCAAAGAAACTAAAGTCAGCTCAAGTCCAGGCATTCAAATCACCTCCTAGTTGTCTTATTGCTTCAGGCGCTCTAACCTTCTCAGCTCACTATCAGAGCCACGTTTCTCCTGTAACCAAAGTCAAAATTAAACTTTTTCTGGAATAACTATAACACCTACAACCCCCTAAATCAATCAGTTCTCCACTGTTCACACAGGCGACCAACTTGAGAATCAAATGGCGAAATTCACTGAAAGATGAGGGATTTATACATCTAATTAGACTTCAGGTGGTTCTTCTGTTGGGGCCATGAGGGAAAGGAATGTTCTAGAGAACTTTCTAAGAACCACCAAGCTCCATCTTCAACACTGGGGCCAAAGGTCCAGGCTGTTCACAGCAGACCCACCTGATGAATGACAGCCACTTTCTGCTGCCTGCCCAGATCCTCGTTCACCATGTCCACCTTGGGGGGCCGGACCACCGTCTCCCTGAACGGGATGATGGGCTTGGACACGCTAATGTCAATTTTGGCAAATCTGTAGATCCAAGCAGGAGAAGTAGTGTTAGAACCCCAGTCTAGTTTAAAAGACATTGTTACCTTTAAAGTAAATATTTCTTTCTCTATTGTTTCAATTTGTTCAACAGACACTATTAAGCAAATGTGGTCTCAGCCTGGGCTTTGACTAGGCCTTTTACAGAAATCATATATCTATAGCTCAAACGTTTGCTGTAGTTTTTCACCAGGTCTGCATTAGTGGTGAAACGGTTCACAAAATCCGTGGTTTGATTCGGGTCAGTATATGTTTATTGTTACCCCGAAATCCCATAAAAATGAATGAAATGTAATTATTTTTAATGATTCGCAGAAACCATGGATCATTTCGTATGTTTTGCTGCTTTGAATTTAATCATCTGGCGCATGCCCTCTACGATCTCCAAGGAACTCAGAGGGGAGCGGACGGGAGCCACAGC